CATCAACTGGTAACACCAACACGTTTTTTATCTTTGTCTCGCTTATTATTCCAATTTATCAGAGTAGAGCGCAAACAGCATACAATTATTTTTTATTTTATATTCAATTCTAAAAAATCAAGAAAGATAATTTGATAATTGATAGAATCAGGCATTACTTTGCGGAAATTCATTATAATAAAAAATAAAAATACAACTTGGTGACGGAGTTAGTGCATGCAATTGAGGGAGGGCGGGAGGCGCTCTTCAATCCAGGTAAGACACATCATTGTATTTAGTTAGCGGAAGGTTGCAAAGAAATTTGTATTTTTATTTTTTAAGATAATTTGAATTTAACTTAGTTTATTAATTTATTTCAAAGACAATATGTATAGAGATATAGATTATTGTCTATACTTTTGCCTATATTATACTAAAAGGCAGTAAGTAAGTCGAATTACTTTAATGATCTTAAGGTAACTTTATACTTTAATTACATCAGTGATATTATAAATATCGTTTTTTATATATTAGGTATTTTTATTAACGTCTGCAATAAATAGGGTGTAACAGGTGAACGGATTAGAAGCCTAAGGCTGGTATTTTACAATTTTATTTTATTTTACATTAAAATATTATGAAATTGATCACTCAATAAATACTACTAATTTGAAATAAACTTTCGGTACTAAAAAAATAAAAACAAAATTAAACTAAATAAATAAATCAATTAAAAACTATCGAAATTAAAATAATACGTACCTAATTAGTAATATTTATTGACATATCAATTTCATAATAAGGTAATGCAAATTAAAAAAAATGTAAAATATCAGTGCCATGCATCTATTCCGTCCACCTGTTACACGCCCTAACTTTTCATTTTTCACGTCAGACGTAAAATAACCATCCCAACGATGGGCAATAGTGATCAGATCTTGACAGACTGCGATCGTCAATCAGTCTGGCAAGCGTGACGATCAAGGAAAATTATCCTTCCCTAAAACAGGAGGGGCTGCAGAACTTTTCGTTCTCATGAAGAAGAATGTCCTTCATAGAAGTGTAAATATACATATTGTAAATATTAAAAAAATATTTCCATAAATATTTCTTATAGAATAAGGGTGACAAACCAGCGCAGAGTCCTCCTGATGGTAATTGGAGGCTGTGCTGGACACGGACATCTACATTTAACCTCGATTAGGAATCAAAATACAGATGCGTTGTCACCCCTGAGGACTAAGATTGAATGCCTAGATTCCAGTAAAACGGCTCTCCGGTCCTCCAAACTCACTATACGAAACACAGCAGTATTACGCTGCTATTTTACGCTGGTATTCTGTGAGAACGTGGTCCATCCCCGGTTGAGCTAACTCATTCGTGCTCCAACCATATTATAGCGGCAGCGTGGCTCTATTACGTATAAATTAAAATTTTGATAAGGTTTTATATTAATATCCAATTGTTAGCCCAATTTTGCAATACCCAATTATTCTCAAAATTTTGGTTGAGTATTTTTTTTCATACAGTAAGGAATTCGGAAGATACTGTATATGTTGCAGCCCGGGGTTAAAAAATTCGGCAAATAATATCAATTTCTCGACAATATTGATTACAGCAAGTTTTTATTTTCAACGCGAAAAAATAAGCAAATTAAATCATGAAATTACAATTTAATATTTAATTAAATTATTAAAGATTTTTGTTGTTTTCTTTATTAATAACATTTATTAAATATCTTTATTAAAATTAATTACTAATTTATTAGTTGATTAAAACTTGGATCCTTTATACCATACCTATACTTGAGTTACAAACAGAATGTATTCCATTACTGGAAGTAATATTTTTTACTAATACTCAGATTCTATTCACTGTGTATTCTATTTACCTGCGTCTATTTCTCAGACCACATCAACTTTTTTTTAATAGAAATGAAGTGACAAACGAGCCCACAGTGCATTCAATGGGAACCTGTAGCTAACTTCATAGAAAGAAGGGTTTAGATGCGTTTTCACCCCTGTGGACTAAGATGAAGGATCTCACACACATCACAGCCATAATTATTGTCGACGTTCTTTACCCTTATACTATCTTTACTCTATACCGAAAGACAACAATGCAAGTGGCAATTTGGCAACGGAAACAGGTAGAGGGTGGTTGGTACCTTCTTAGACGGGCTACCAGGCCTTCTACCGTTACTCTATTTCAGGTGAGATCATGGTCAAATCTCGACATATTAACAATATATGTTATATATAATGATTAGTCCATCAATGTCCAATCAAATATCAAAGAATTCTCGAAGGAGGGGTGTGTGATCATCTTGCAACACATCTAGGGCAAAGTTTGTTTTATTTACATACTCAGTTTGCAATAATTGATTGTTGCCCCCTCCCTCACAAGCAGGCGGGTTGCGGCATAAGTTGCGAACATAGCGGGGACAGTCTCGAACCACCAGCTCCGACAGCCTGCTCGAGGCTTACGAACGAACCTGACGGGGTTCACGGTGCCACGGAGCCACGTCGTAAATAAACGGTAAAACATGCAGTTCAAACTGTTTTTAGTGTCTTTTGTGTTACATTATACAGCCGCCGAATACTATAAGAACAAGCGTGAGTATATTTTTTTGATACATTCATTATAACGCGTTGCTATTATTACGGGCGTTGACATACTTTTGTAGAGACCGTTTCAAAGGTAAACAAATAACAGTAGGTCGCGTCGTCCGGTTTTTTAAACCATAATCTTTACCGAAACGTTATGTAATTCCACAGATCATGCGATTTTTCGAAGACCCTACATATTACAGTTTTTTTTAAGGACTGTAAATTTCTGGTGACTAGTACTACGTAGTACAGTTACAGTTCAGTGGCGCAATGGCTTAGTTAGCATTGAGTCGCGGCGTTGAGGCCTGAGGGTTCGAATCCCGCACCGAACAAGTATTTGTATGACCTACAAATAATTGTTTCGGGCCTGGATGCATGTTCTTATGCAATTTATGTTTGTAAACTGCCTCCACGATACAGGCGAAAATTCTAGTGTACGTTATTATGTACGTTAGTGTAGTTATTATGTGAAATTAATGACTTGTAGTCTTTGTTGAATGTAATACTCTGCATGGTAGTTAACCAATAAAATTAATACACTAAAAAAAACAAGACCACGCTGTTAAAAGTCTAAATCAAACCATAAAAATCTTTCTCTATAATATATATATATATATATATATATATATATATATATATATATATATATATATATATATATATATAACCCTTTCAGACCCGTGCCGTGACGGCGCTACTTAACGAACATTACAGAACTGATTTGGGGCAAATAACATGCGTAGATTACAAAAAAGGGGTCTTAAAAAATCTGGGAAAATGGGAAAACTGTTTTCCACGATACTCACGATCGTACTATGTCGGGCCCAACTATAGCTACCCTCACGATCGTGAGGGTAATTACAATACTCAAATAAAAGTAAAAATTAGGACTAATTATTTATTTTATAATCAATATTAACTTAATTTCTTATTGTTAATAAGTAACAAAAATATAACGCTTCTTTTAACCTCTATTTTTGGAGTAATTAGATACAATAAAAATCTTATTAAGAACTAGGAACAAGGCACACAATCGAGATCATCTGTTTATAATTACTAGAAGGAATAGACTTGAGAAAAATATTAAAAAAAAAATTATTTTTCATTATGGAAAACGTAGAAACAATGCTTATCTTTAGTACTACAAAGATAAACATTGCATTTTGTGCATCTTACTTTTGAACGGCTTGTACAACCTGTCACTCGGCAACAGCGAGGAGCTTTTAGAGAATCACATACGGGCCAATGTTTATACCCATCGAGACGTTTATCTATAGTTGGAATAGGTGCAGGTTGTAGTGGGATGTTGAAGGCATCTCTGCTATTTCTTAATTCTTATCGGGTGGATTTTCTCATTGAACCGCCTAGTAGAAAATCAGATACCTACGCATATTTTAAAGTCCAGAAAATCCTTGATATTAGAGTCTTGACTTTATTTCTATCACATGATTGACGATACTCGTACCACGAGTTCACCATGGCCAAGTCAAACAAATGCATTATTAACTTGATTGGCCATTTGCGAGTTTTATGCCATGATCTGTAGACCTCCATCATTTGGTCGCTGACGTCTACACCTCCCATATGTTCGTTGTAATTTTTAATCATATCAGGGCAAGTTACTTCGATGTATGATTTTGTAACTTTATCGTAACGCTGGACCTTATGCAATGGCAGGGCTCCAATAGCAGTGGAACAAGCAAATACTGTTTTGGAGTCTTTCCATTTAATGACACAGATATCTTTTTTATTGTTAACAACCTCGTGATAATCACCCCGATTCATTGAAGAGTCTTTGGGAAACTGGTATCCTTTAAATCTATTGGTTATTATTGTTCCAGTGCCTTCAATTCCAAGCGTTAACATCTTCTCAAGTAATGGAATGGTCGTAAAATATCTATCAAAATAGACGAAACTTCCTCTGGGCAGGGTATTTATTAAACGTAAAACTATAGCGGGTCCAAGGCCCAAAGATCTGTCTGAAAGTGGAGTGGTGTTGCCTTGATGGAGCTCAAAATCTAACACTAATCCTTTCGATGATGTCACGACATAATTTTTAAGGCCCACTGGTCTTGGTTTGCCTTTCACAAATTGTCTGACAGGACACTTACCGAGGAATGGCACCATTTGTTCATCTATTGAAAAGTGAGATTGATCTCTAGGTATCTGTAAGCATCTGCCCCTTACAGCATCTATCAGTGGCTGGACAAGCCACAGTTTGTTCTGAGTTTGTATTTCAGGTGATACAGATCCCTTATCTACTATGTGTAAGTTTACTCTGAGAAGAAAGAATCTTTCACGAGCCATTGCCTCTGCAATACAAGATAGTCTAAATCGTTGCATCCACACCATCTTTATTCGAGGATATCTAATACAGCCCAGGATTCCATTAACCCCAAAAAAAAAATTAATTTATGTCGCAGTAACCGGAGGATTAAGTTGTTTGTTAAAACTCGACTGATAATAAACATTCGTGTTAAAAGCAAATAACTCGTAAGTTTCTTCAGTAAAGTACCTATCAAAGTATTCACTTGGAGTAAGTACTTCTTCCGTCGGCTTCGAGATCAGTGCAGGTATGGGTTTACCGACGAATCGTCTGCGAGTCCATTTATTCGGCGATGATGGACTTGCTACTGTTGAATCTCTTGCTTCTTGCTCGTCTTCGTTATCCGAGCTAGAACTAGTTAGCTGACCAGGTGGATGCCAATCATTATCGTCGTCAAAGTCCTCGCCCAAATCCGAGTTAGCTAGTTGATCCATTATAGCATCAGGGTCAAAAGCCAAGTTATTTCTATCCATAACGATGTATCAAATAGGCTGAAAAGTAAACAAGAGGGTTTTTAACATAAAATAATTGGTATAAATAATCACTAATCCGACCAACGTTGGGCCCGAACCCTCACGATTGTGACATCTAAAAGTAAAGTCGAAAAAGACAAACTAAAAACGCGAAAGGACGAATAAAAACATAATTTATCGAGAATTTAGCTTTTTTCAAACGAATTATTGCAATAACATTATAGTTTTTACTTACTTTTACGTGACAAACAGGTATGTTTAATTTTGGCGCGTAACACGTGTCTGTTGCTAGGCGGCAAATGGCGACTGAGTCAAAATTATTGTAATTTAATTCCACTGCTCTTTGTCATAATAAACCGAACTACACGCACGATCGTGTGACGCTGTCCCCGTCAACTCACGGCTATTGTTTAATTTTATAAAAATTGACAAAGTCACCGTCACAATTGTGAGTACTGGGACCGAAAGGGATATATATATATGTGTGTGTGTGTGTGTGTGTGTGTGTGTGTGTGTGTGTGTGTGTGTGTGTGTGTGTTAATTAACTTATTTTGTGACTTATTTCAGCCGATTTCGTCAAGACATGCTACAAAAGCGACCCAGAATTTGACGATTGCTCAAAAGAAGCCGTTCAACAACTGTTTAAGGCCCTGGGACCCGGTAAACAATTTACATTTAAATTCACTTTCTGTAGCCATACAAACCTACTTTGTCGACGAACCTCACCTTTAAAAATATAAACAAACTGCAGATTTAAAGCGAGTTACTAAATAATAGAAATGCATATTAAGTACCCTACAGTTGTTTTGTTACAAAACGATGCACTATGTTAATTAATATCTCTTATTACAACTGAATTCCTAGTATACTTTATCGTTTATAATTTATTTACGAAGGACTCATTTTTAATAACATTTATTAAATTCATCAAATAAACTTAATTAATTGTGTGAATAAATTAAAACAATTTAATTAAATACACAAAAAAGTAATTTTTATTCGTGTATGTTATGTTTTATCTTATAACTTTTATCTAAGGAATGAAGAATTGGCTCTCAGATGAAAATAAAATATTTCAATTGAAAATAATGCATTGGAACTCATAAAAAGGTGAAATAACCAAACAACCAAGTGTGTTGCGATATTAGGAGTTGGTTTATAGATGTTGCGTTATTTATATTCTGTTATATGGTATTGCAAAGATTGCTAAGAATGATAGTGGGTTGGTAGGTTCACGAACCACTAGGCTAGTAACATAGCCTCAATTACGAAACATGTATAAGTGCATAACTTGCGGAAAGCGAAAGCGCTATTTCTTCATCTTGTTTACAAGAGTCGACAAGAGCAACATTAAACTTTATTTAATTTTTAAAAACCCGATAAAAATGTTCAAAATAAGTTTTCTTTCAGGTTTACCAGAAATTGGTATGGTCGCTTTAGATCCTTTGAAAATTCCAAAAATAAGGATTTTACAAGGCGAAGGTCCAGTGAATGTTAACGCGGCACTTGATGACGTCCTAGTCACCGGGTTTGGAGAGACAGAGGTTTTGCTGAACCAGTAAGTTTAAGTGTTTCCAAGTTGAGATAAAAATGGAAAGTATGATGCACAGTAATACTTTTCTGCCTATAGAATTCCGACTAGGTAACAGGTATTACACTCTTATTTGTTTCTAAAGTTAAGTTTCTCGAGCATATATTGTATGTTCCCGTTCACATGGACTGCTAATGTAAACAGTCTGTGAAGCATTCAACCTGAGTCCTCAGGGGTGAAACACAACACATCTTTAGCCTTTTTTGTTTAAAGTTAGTTGTGCGGTGAGTTCTCTATGGGTTATAATGACCATTCTACATCAGGTAAGGATGTTACGTCAATATACTTTAGCCGAATATAATTTAAAAAAATACAAAGTGAGTGACGAACAAATTGTTATATAGGTATGTAGTTAAACAAAAATAAAATAAAACATGATAAAATTTGTAAAATTAGACTTATACCATAATTCCATGCTATATCTTCAGGTCAGATATATCCAATACTCTTCCATAATAGCTTCCTCTCCTTCTAGATAATGGAAAATTTTCTTCGAACGCTTTTTCGTGATACCAACTATATTATTAAAAGAAATTGCATGATTGATAGTGTCTAAACCAACCACAGACAAAATTAAGAAATTGTAAATTTTATTGGCAGTGTAGTAGCGGTTCATTAGTTAGAATCCACTAAATACTACAGTGACAGAGGGAGACTAAGAGACTAACAGCAGTATCTTTCTGGAAATAACTGAATCCAATAGAATCCAACCCCACAAAGCGTGGCACTATGGACAACATCTCCTATTAGGAAACTTATGGCGGAGGGCTATGTTAAGCAGTGGACTCTGATTGGTTGTGATGATGATGATGATGGCGATAATGATTCTGTTGTTGGTGGTGGTGTAGATGATGATAATGATGGTAAATAAAATATCGCGGTATGTAGCGGTGGCGCAAGAGTATCCACTACCCCATATTATCCCGTTGTGTCGTAAGGCGCGACAAATTGAAATGGAAAGGGAGATGGATAGCATCATCTTTCTAATATCAACTCAAATTTATGAAAAACTGCGGTTGCCAACCTGCCAAGCGAGGCAACAATAGCAAATACCTTCCCCAAATGGAAGGCATATTAAGGGTATGTGTTAAAATTAAAAAAAAATATCTTGGTGTAGTTTGCACATTTTTGGCAACTTGACCTAAAAAACTTCCTTTAGAATATTTATTAAATGCGTGAGAAGTATTATTTTCACATACGTTTATTATTGAAAATGGGATACAAGCTGGATAATCAAAGTTGGCAGTTTGAAAGCATATATCATTGTCAGTTACTGCAACACTGGTATGTGGTAAATATGTCCAAAGATTATTTAAACTTACACAAAAATGTAAGCTTTAAGTATGGTTTTTGAACGATATGACGGGTTTATAAAGCAGCAGGTAATTAATAACGAAAATCAGAGATGTCATAGTTGCCGAATTATACTTTATCTACATATACTATAAAGTTGTTTAAATTTATTTCAGGGTGGATAGCAAAAGTTATGATTTCTACACGAAAGTACGAGTACCAAAAATAAGAATCGAAGGAACTTACGATTTAAAAGGCAAAATATTGTTAATTCCGTTGGTAGGTCGGGGTCTCTGCTGGTTTGAACCGAGTGAGTACACACTCATTTTAATTATTTTTGAACTTTCATATTACACGAAGCCCGCTGTTATCTAAAAATACATGAGGCCGTGAAAAATCTGAAATTTGTTTTCAATATACATAATACGTTTCATTAATATGGTTTCGTTGTTTCAGCAAATATGACTATTGATATTTTAAGTGACGTTAAATTGTACGAAAAAGACGAATTTGTTTTCTTCAATGTAACTGGGGCACATGTGAAATATACCGTAGGAGGATTAAGCCTGCGAATGAATAATCTATTTGATGGTATTTCATCATTAGGTAAGTTAGTTTCCTTACAGTGGCGCCATCTGTGATAACGCGATAAACAATGTAATCGTGGCGCTGCGAAATGATTGTCTCATATAAACGCAGATGTCTCTAGTGGACAGTACATATACCTATCTTTTATGATATCCTAGTATCAGAGATTTGCAATAAGCAACGTATTCTCTCAAAGGGAAAACCCACGCACATTGCCCATACTTTAAAAAAAAATCTTACCTATAAATTTAATTTTTAGGAGTATTTTTTAACATAGCAAGAAATGTCAATTCTTGATAACTTAGGTTTGATTATTATTATCAATATTTGTTCGTCTGGTGTAATTTTCATGTTGGATTTTTTCAGAGGACAGCACAAACGCCTACCTAAACGCTAACTGGAGGCCAGTATCAGAATCATTACGTCCAATCTTATCAAAAACTATAGAAGATATTTTACTTGGTTTCATGCAGCAATTATTCCACAACTTACCTGCGAATTTCATGATTGGAGATATTAAAAAGATGTTAAAGAAAGCTGACAAAAAAATTTAAGTAGGTTTTTTTAGATTTAAAGGTGCCGTAATTTACATGATCACTTCTTTGCTTAAATACTTTCAGCATGATTGTGTTCAAATAAATTAAAATAAATAATTTATAGCAGCAGTATTGAACGTGATTTATGAAAATTTATGTTAAGTTTAGTTAAGTAGCGTGTACTGATATCAATGTAAATTTGTAAATAAAGTTTGTAATATTGTTATTAAGACAGACTTTGTTATTTTACTACACTGTTTTTCTAAATATATACTAAATATTACATATTATATTCTGAACTAAAACTATATTACGTATTCTGAGTAAAAACATTTTATCAAAAATGTTTACCTGCAAGAGAAATTCTAAATCTTACAGGTATATATATTCAAGGTTACGGAGGCAAGATTAGTCATAGCTCCTTTGCGTCAAATGACATCACATTAATGTAATTTTTACTTGTAGTTAATGATTGCAATTACAATTTCATAAAGTACTTTCAATCTACTTTAGGAAATTGTAAAGAATCCGGTAAATACACTATAAGGTTTTTCACTCTTCACTCATTTTGATCATAATCAAACAAAGCGTTGCGTTGGAAAGCACAATGCACTTTTTGTTTGATTTAATTATTGTTATAATTACTTAAATAATACTTTTAATAACGTAATATCGCGTTTTTATTATAAGTGGAATTTTTACCTGCCAAATGGGACGACCGGGCATTTTGTACAGAAAAATTCTTCAGACGCTGCACTGAAAATAATTTGCACTAATGTACACTCGCGTGTGCTTAGCACGTCCACCACTAGATGGCTCTCTTACAAAAGTTGAGAAGAAAATAAGCGCTACTGGGTCATATAGCGTGTTTTATACGACGGCAAAACGCTTTGGGTGTAAATATCAGCGAGAACAGACACGAGGCAGAAACGATCGCCCAAAATATCTCCATACGTGGCCAGTTGTGAAAATTAAGATATTTTTGATGTTAAAATAAGTCAATTTTTAATGCTACGTTTGTTTAATCGGCTCTATCACTTTAATATCGTTTATTGATCTATTTAGAGAAATGTCTATTAGACGAGACCAAGGCAATACTAAAATACTAAATGATGAGTTTTCAATACCCGCTCAGTAGTTTAGAATTTGACAAAAATTTAAAGTTGTAATGCAATTGAGATTTCATTTTATTAGTATTTGATTAATTTAGTAGATAAATAAATTGATTAATTTAGTAGATAAACACAATACTATAAATTCCATGACATGTCATGTGACTCCACATCATGTTAGATTATTCCTTAAATTAAATTGCACAACCTTTTTAAGTAAACTGATCATTATCACCTGCAACAATTGACTTTAAACATCTCTTTTCAAGTCGTCACTGAACCTTTATACGTGGTAGAGCCATGCTACAGCCATATTATGGTTGTAACATGAATGGGCCTTGATCGAGGAAGGATCACGCTCTCACAGAATACCAGCGTAAACTAGTTGCTTAATACTGCTTCGTTCCGGAGAACCTTTTTACTGGAAAAAATGCATTCTATCTTGGTCCTCAAAGGTGACAACGCTTTTGCATTTTGATTCTTAATTGAAGATAAATGTAGATATCTATGGGCCACAGCATCCACTTACCATCATGTGGACTGTGTGCTCGTTTGTCACCCTTATTATATACAAAACATTTTTCTTATATTAGTAGCAGCGAAAGTAAAAAAAAAAATTATAATGTCTTACAGATGGAGATTCAGTCACGGCGGCCAGTTTCAACGGAGATTAGCCATTTATAGAGATTAGTCATAAGTATAGTTTTATAGTGCCCAACTGTATGCGCAAACAAGTGCAGTCTCTATTATCTGGCTCACATAGTCCGATGGGAGGGTAACCCGGTACGAGTGGAGAGAGATCAGTTGAAACACCGCCAGCTTCTTGACTCCGGGTTGCTACTGAGAGTTTCTTGTCAGAAGAACCTAGTAACTGGTTTTAGATCGAACAGTCGAACCCAGGACCTCATGATCAGCGATTGCGTTTACGGCCACTAGACCAATGAGGCAGAGATAGATAAAGTCTTTTTATATGATATTGAAACGACAAACCATTAGTCGTGTGGTTTTCGTTTTGTCAAAATCGTGGAAAATGCCAAAAAGTCCTTAGGATTAAGATGGCATGCCTCGTTTCCAGTAAAAAGTGTTTCCTGTTCACTATACTAACATTACGAAACACTGCATTATTAAGCAGTGATTTTACGCATTCTGTGAGAGCGTGGTCCCACCCCGACCCAGCTAACCCATTCATGCTATAACCATAATTAAGCTGCAGCGTGGCCCTAGCACGTAAACCTTGCTTCTTCTAAATGGCGCTTTATCTAACGTACGCTTGGTGTAATAAAATGTTATTTAAGTTAGATTAAGGCAAATACTCCCTAAAACGGGAGAGGCAAATGTTTAGCATTTTATGTTTAGCAATTAACTTTTAAGGTAGATGATGATGATGATGTCTGGATGATGATGATGAAGGTTCCGAACTATAGGATTATAGTTTCATGATATTATTCTTCTGTATCTCGAAGAAGTTTTAATTACATAAATTACATGTGGATAAATATAAAGTCATACGAAAACTTTTCCGAGGCAGAGATTGAAGCCTAATGAAAATAGATGACCTTACCGGACCGCACTGTACACCTGTAGCGTTTGTGTGCAAGAGTATAAGACTTTTCTTAAATTATGCGAGTATGCTTTACCATCTTTGGCTTATCACCGTTTACCGAAGTAAAGTAGTAAAACACTGGATTGTAATAAATAAAAAAAATCGGACGAAAAATCATTATCATTGAATTAAGCGACAGCAGCCCTATAGTTATTGATTAGGGGTATGTTCCGAAATACAACGCAGTGTACTGTCCAATGCAAATGACGTCATCATTTGACACTTTATTGTACTAGCGTGCTGCCGCCATATTGTGTCGGATAGCCGGCCATAATAAAACAATTTTTAATTGTGTGTTTGCCGAATGAAGCATGCCAGAATTTGTTTCTAGTTATTCAAATACAAAAAAATTATAGAATTATTGATGGTATATCCATTAGGAGGATATAATGATTTTTGGAGCACAAAATGACAAAATAATCGCCACCACTTTTCCAAATGGCGCAAAAGTATGATGTCATATACTGTCCAATGTTTTGGAACAAATCACCAGTCTAGCGTCGATTCATGACGTCATTTGCATTGGATAGTATACTGCGTTGTATTTCGGAACATACCCTAGGTTGGAATCTGCCATTCGACTGCTCTCTTAAGCCGCACCTTTTTTGTAAATGGGGAAGTTTAATTTTTTTTATAGACAGGAGTGCCAAACACTTTGCCGGAGATGCGGCAACGCTATTGCACATTACCACAGCCCCTAAAATTGTAACTCATATAGGTTGCTTCTCGTAGAGAGTGGAGATGGAGTTCTCGCAAGCGCAAAGAGCGTATTTTTAATGTAGAAATAATGCCTTTTATTGAGCTGAAGGCAATTTGCATGCCATTAGGCACGAATAACCATTTTTTAAATATTTGTTTGGATGTCTGTCTGGTCTGCTCTTCGAAAAGGCTGAATCGATACTTTGAAACTTGAGGAACGGAGACGACGGAGATATTTGTGACAAATCGAAAAATTCATAAGATAAATAGTCTTTGATAATTATTATAAATAACGTAAAATAACGAAACCAGGAGGTGTTTAAACAAAGTATTTACTGTAAGCTGGAAGGAAATTGGCCCCTTTCAACTTAAAGCAAAAATAGTGTTCAAAACAGATGCGGTGTTTTTCCTTCGAATGTAGAGTCGCGGATACTCTATTTTGTCAAAATGTACCGTATCAAAATTGCATATTTTTCCATGTGAAGAATGCCGTATAAGATTTGGAAGTCTATTCTAACATTTATTTATCACTTTTTTATATATTTATAAATAAGAGTAAACAATATAAATGGTAATAAATCGTAGTATGCGGCAATCAATGGGAGGGACTTTGATAGGCTACAATGATTGTAATTATGATGATGAATCATGGTGACATGTATTGGGAATAAAGTTTGCCAATAATGGAAGTAAGTTTGTCATAACAATTATTATAGAATGGAGTACGAGTCTTGGCAAGATATACTACGAAATATGTTAGTTTACGAAGTGCGCAAATTCTTCTATGCACTTTTATCATATGAAATAGCTATTTTAATTTTTCATTTCAATTCACTATAATTTTTAATTGGAGTAGAAATATTTTATTTTAATAAAGATTTATTTATACGTGGTAAAGCCATGCTGTAGCTATATTATGGTTCTAGCACTAATAGGTCGACTCAACCGGGGCAAGACCACGCTTTTAAAGAATACCAGCGTAAAATAGCAGCGTAATGCTACTGTGTTTCGTGTGGCGAGTGTAGAGAACCGGAGACCCTTTTTACTGGAACAACGCATTTGCATTATGATCCTTAGTTGAAGATAAATGTGAATGTCTATGGGCCACATCACACTCTTACCATTAGGTGGACTGTGTGCTTGTTGTCAAAAAATATAAACACTGGATGATTTTTCTGTCGTCTGGTAAAAATAGGATGTAACAGGCGAACGGAGTTGATAATATGTTAATGTAAAGGAAAAAAAAATTGTAAAATATCAATGCCATAGGCTTCATCTGTTCCCCTGTTACAGCTTATTTTTTTCAGACGGTAAAAATATCCCAGCACAATTGGAATAAATTTTACTTGTTCTACCATAGCAAGAGAGGCCGTAGTTAATAACATTTAGTCTGCTAGTAGGTTATATACCATTCTTCACGTTTTAAATGGTAATTTTAGTAAAGTACAATAAAAATATAATAGCAAATAAGATTTGGGAGCATCGTATTATTAGAATACCCATAAAATTTAACCCTTTAGGAGATAAAGACGGATTGATTTAAATATGGTTGATTGCATGCCATTAAGGTATGAGTAATCATTTTCAAAACGTTCGTCTGTTTG